TACTTCTCTCTCTTTCTCTCTGGTGTTTGTGTGTTCGCATGCATGTGCACATAATATGCGTGCACGCTTCTGAATATGTATTATGTGTGAAGGAATGACTGATCCAAAAAACGGATGACTTCTCGATTTAACCAAACAACGGATGACTTTTCGATCTAACCAAACAACGGACGACAAGAGAGCAACAAACAAAAAAAGAAGGAGGAGAAATCAGGACGATAGATGTACGATAGATGTTCAATAGGAAAGAAAAAGAAGCAAACCACACCAGATCTCCCGCCAACCACCCACTTTCTCATTTGTGTATGATAGCTCAAGTGTGTTGCAACTTTTTGGTCTGCTGCTGACTGATCAGGCACAATATGTGACATCTGAAGTCCAGACTTAAAGACGAGTGGTGGGTGGTGGGAGGGTGCTCTGGTGTGGTTTGCTCCTTCTTTTCTATCAAACATCAGTCGTCCTGATCTCTCCTCCTTCTTTTTGTGTTTGTTAATCTCTTGTAACATCTCTAATCTTCGGCACTCCTATGACCTTATTGTGTTGCAAGGGCTGTAAAACTCTTATGAAAACGAAACAAAAAAACAACAAACGTAACGACTTAAAGTGCGTAAATATTTGAGCACTTTTGCAGGGAAGGTCTTTCTTACCCTTTTTATTGTATCGGCGAGCGGACAGACTTGTCTCTGAATAGCATTGGAAAGGGTCACTTTTACTTTAAAGCACAAGGGAGCTATCCCGGAAAATGCTGTTTTGAGAAAATCGAAGGTAAAGTTTTTGGACACTTGTTCAGTTTCTTTAAAAGACAAGGAGAGTTTTCTCTTTAACCAAACAAATATACCCACCAATGAAACCATACTTCTCGTATAGGTAGGGCAATGACCACTTTTGGTGTTGGTCAAGATTTCTGGAAACCCCCGAAATCTAGATTAGCCCGCTTGTCCTTAAACTAGACCATCCTTGTCTTGCATCCGTCATCTACATGGTTGCCGCCTGCGTTCGGTAGTGCAAAACCGTTAATGAACACATAGCCATGTCAATGTACGGGGGTGCAAAAACCGTTAATGAACACATAGCCATGTCAATGTACAGGGGTGCAAAACCGTTAATGAATACATTGCTATGCCAGTGTGGCCACCATGCCTCATTGGACTCACATTTTTAGTAACATCACCTCAGTTGTTTCTGTCTGTCTCCATTAAAAAAGAAATTAACGCTGTAAAAGTGCCATTGATTTATTGTCGCCTTTTTTAAAAGCTTTATTAAACGTTTCACGACACTTTCAACACATTTGGTCACATAAATGCAGAAGATTAGATGTGTTACAAGAGAGTAATAGACATAAAAAAAGAAGGAGGAGAGATAAGGACTATCGGTGTTTGCTAGGAAAGAAGAAGTGAAAAAAAAATGGATGTCAGGTGAGAAAAGGGGGAGGAAGGGGAGAACAGACAGAACATCTATGCCTGTCAATATAGTTAGTCTTTAATTAATATTCTCACCGAAGCTGCAACCAACAATCTGATCCTTTTGATGGTACAGCTTTACGTCCCGTACAAGGACACCAAAACTGAAAAGACAACCCCCCCCCCCAAACCAAACCAAACCAAACAAAAAAACAAAAAACAAAAACAATTAAAAAAAATATGGTCGCTTTTAAGGACAAGCAGGAGAACCCAGATTTCGGGGGCACCACAACCACAACCTCCACCATTACCACTACCATCAAAGACAACAGCAACAAACAGCAACAAACAGCAACTACAACAACAACTGTGGCCAATTCAACAAGGAAGAAGCAACAACATCAAAAGCTATAAAGCCATTTATTGTTGTTTCAGTTCCGTGTTTTTACATTCACGGCTGTTTCAGTGGATGGGCGACAGAGAGTGAGTGAGAGAGAGAGAGAGAGAGAGAGAG